CTGGGGCTGAGGAATGCTAAGCACTTGAATATAAACCTTAGTTTTGGGCTTCCTAGAAGCTAAGGCAAAAAGAGAAACATGAATTATGTGCCTCTTATGGTCAAGTAGGATGGCATATATGTGTGTTCTGCTCCCCAAAATTTGTGTGTCTCGGTGCAGGGTGTGGGGACTTCCTTGAAATTGCAGATGACTCATTATCTAAGGAATGCTGAACATGTCTTAAATAAACAATGTGATTGTTTATTGAAATGGAATTCCTTGTAGTTTTTAAGTGTTCTGGAGATGTTCCACACAGCCTTTTATTTTTAAATTTATTTGAAAACTAATAGATACTCTAAAGAAAATTTGAGAGATGTTGAAGGTAGTATGCTGAGGGATGTGGCTTCCAGGAACTATGGTCTTACACCCAGCTAGAGCTTTGTGGAAAATGTTCATTAAATTTGTAGATGATGGTGGGGAGAAATTGATTATTTGTTAGAGCAAAGAAGTGGAATTCTCCATAAAATCTCAATGGTCTAGAACGATAAGCCAAATCTAAAAGGTTGACTCTAAGAAGAGACGAGGGTAAAGAAAAAAAAGAGAGAAGAAGGAAGGAGGGAAGGAAGGCTGGAAGAGTAAATACATAATACACTCAGCCCAATCAAGAGTGCAATATATCTGGAAATGAACAAACACATACATACATAAATACGTAGATTTAGCACAATCTTGGACTGTGTCATTGACGAGTGCACAGATTTTGTGTCCTTATCTAGGCATTAATCCTGGTTCCATCAATTACTGGTTGTATAACTAGGGGTGTGTTATGGAACTTCAGTCTCCTTGTCTCTCAAACAGGAATTTTAAAAATAAAAAACAGTTTTATAATTTAAAAAATAAGCACATGTTCTTTACAGAAAACTCGAAAGTGCAGAAAACCATGAGGAAAATAGTAATCTCCCATTTCTCTTAAAAACAACATTAAGAGTTTATTGTTTCCTTTTATGCTGGTCACATGACCGGTATCATGTTATGTATGCAACTTTGTCTCTTCATTTTCTTCATTTAACATTATACTATAAGCACTTTCTTACTTTATTGAACCTCAAGTATAACAATTTTAATGGCAATATAATAATACATCACATGAATATTCCTCAAGTGGCTAGAATGTTGCCCTTTGTCAAGCATTTGCCTTGTTTCCTTTTTAAACACTCATTGAAGCATACATATTGGGCATGTCTTTATATATTTGGCCTCGTAGTCCAGATTCTTTCCTTAGGATAACACCTTCAAGGTGAGAGTACTGATTCAACGCAATAGCATTTAAAAACTCTTCTTGAAAATTGCTGACTTTCGAGGCTGGGCAGTGGCATAGTGGTTAAGTGGGTGTGCTCCACTTTGCTGACCTGGGGTTTGCAGGTTCGGATTCTGAGCATGGACCCAGCACTGCTCCTCAAGCCATGCTGTGGCGGCATCCCACATAAAATAGAGGAAGATTGGCACAGATGTTACCTCAGCAACAATCTTCCTCAAGCAAAAAGAGGAAGATTGGCAACATCTGATAGCTAAGGGTCAATCTTCCTAACTGAAACAAAAAAAAAAAAAAAAAAATCCCAACAATTGCTGGCTTTCTTTCAGGAAAGTGTATTCCCCTCTGGTATCAGACAACTAAAACACAGCTGACTTCCACTTGAAAAGTACGGAATATCAGCCACTGGCATTGATAGAGCCTCAGTAAATCTCCAATGTTCACGTCAATACAGAGTTACATAGAGCCCAGCACTCTGCTACATCCTGGACATTAGTGAAGAATGGAACCCCATTGGTCCCTGCCCTCATGGAGCTTGGAGTCCATGGATGAGACAGAAATTACCAAGTGAACACAGAGGCAAACATATCATTAGAGGGGCGGTGAGATCTCCGGTTATAGATAATAGTTCTCTTCCTTGAGCCTGACTTGTCCCCTGAGTGTTTAATTCAAGGAGGTCAAATATTTGGGGTAGAGGGTGTGCTGAGAATCTTCACTCACCCTGCATAAAGAGAGAGGTGGGCAGATGTGTGCTCCTGATGTTGCTCCCGGAAAAGGAATTAAGATTCTCAAAGAACAATACTTTTGGAAACTTCTGGATGGGAATCTTCCTACTAAGATGTCACCCATCTTCCAAGTCTCCTACCCCACATAAGGCTGTGGCAAACAGATGACAATACAGTGGCAGAAGCATTTAGGAAAGGAAAGAAATATTTGACTTGCAAAGCATGCAGGGACTCAGACTTTAAAAGGATTGGCTTGCTGGACACAAACACAACAAATATTCAGAGGACAAAACTACAAATTAGCAAGGATATTAAGGTAAAATTATTCTGTTTATGGTGTAAAACAACAACATCCTTACATGGTTATCATATTTGCAAAGGTCATGACATACTTTCAGATATCAGCACAGCAAAAATAAGCAAAACTATATTCTTTTTGAGGTCCAAAACCAGTCAGGGGGATCCCATTAGTTTTGGTTTAACTCTGGGTGCAAAGTATTTCTCCCCCTTACTGTGGCACGTGAAGTTCTTAATCATTGGAATGTCAGTTTCCATTTCTGGGGTAGATGTGGTGTGGTGTGTGCATGTAGTTGGGATGTGTAGTTTTGGCTACCATGTAAACTTGCCCTGAAATCCTTTCCTACTGATCCTTGCAGTGGAAAGAAAACTGGATGAAGAGATTCTAAAATAAATCAAAATTCAAGATTCTTTCTCTGGATGTGTTCAACAATCATCTATTAAAACTTCTCCATGCTAGTCCTTGTGGACAGGACTTCACATTTAATGTTGGGACCATTTACAGAGCAGATGGCAGAATTAAGGGCACCTATAAGGGATGGTGAGGCACTCAGGGACTAGCAGTGGCAGAAGCTGTTTCCACCCTTGGGCCTGAAGTGACAAGATGAAGGAACCTTGTTGTTACTGGAGCCAGCAAAACCTGGAGCCATAGAGGATGGGCCACAAAACCAGAAATGTGGTTGCAGAATCATGGTGGTAGAGGGAGAATGGGTAGTGGTTGTGTGTTTGTGAGTGTGTGTATGTGTGTGTAGTAAATACCCTACCTCTCTTTATGCTACCCTTTATTCTCCTGCAAGTACCTCTCATTGGCCAAATCCAACCAGAAGCCACAGAGTGAGGGAGTCCGGCTGATGCAGTCCTAAGTGACCAGCCTCCCACGGGCTGAGCAGGGTGGAGAGTGGATCTGGGTGGCTGGCCTAGAATAATCAATAAAACTTTCCTTTTGTGAATCACCAAGAGGAAGAACAGTCTCTGAAAGTGATGGAAACAGAGTGTCCAGAGAGGTAGGAAGGGAATCTGGGTAGAATTGTATCACAGAGGCCATGGATGAGGAATTTCAAGGAAAAGGGAGTAGCCAGCAGCCTCAAATGCGATAGAGATCAAGTCAAAAGTAGCTATTGGATTCAGTAATTTGGGAGTCATTGGTGACCTCATTAGAATGCTCTGAGGGAGTAAGATGGAAACCACGTGGCTGTGCTAAAGAAAGTATAGGAAATGGTTCTAGTGGGAAGGAGACAGGGAGGCATCAGAGGATGATGTAAGGTTGAGGGAGGTTGCTTTTAAACATGGAAAATAAAATTGCTGTAGACAGGGGTGCAGATGCGGATATTAGAGATAAGGGAATAACTTGTGGAGCAAGTCCCAGAGGAAGCAGGAGGCACTGAGACCACCAGCTTTGCAGAGGAGAAGGGACATGTCCACAGAGGCATAAGGGAATGTGTTATGGATATACGGCTAGGCAGAGAATGTTATAGGTCCATAGCTAGTGAGAATGACAATGAGTTGCCTCCAGGAATCTTCTGTCATTTTGTCTGTAAAGTTGGAGGCTGAGTCATCTACTATCAGTGAAGTAGGAGGTTGTAGAAGAGAGGACTTGAAGAGACCAGGGAAATTTGCACTAGTCTTTGTTGGAAACAGAAGGAGGAGCTGACTCAGAGGGGTGGGGACAGTGCAAGGGTTGATAATGCTACTCTATGTCTAATGTGGCACCAATCAGCAGAATTTTGTGAACTTCTTCATTCATGTTCAACCTTGATATAGAGATGTTGGATATTTAGAAGTTAATAGGGTTGGCATAATGTCAACGAGCCAAGGATGGTGACAATATTGGCAAAAGACTAATAGAAGAGACAGATTATAGATCTTGGTTGGACTGGGCAAGGAGTAAAGCCGAAAGAGGGCTTAGGTAGGGGAACGGGAGGCATCAAGGAGGTCTTGAAAAACTGGAAGAACATTAGTATTCATGATTATTGCGAACATTTATGGAGAGTTTACTATGTGCCAGGCACATTTACTTCTCGCAACAGTCAATAGTTGTATCCTAATTTTTTTTATAGATAAAGAAATGGAAGCAGAAAGCTTCAACAAGTTGCTCAAGATCATACCGTTGGTTAATGGCAGATAAGGATTTAGAACCTAGACGATTTGACACCAGATGCTGTACTATTGAAAACCAGGCAAGAGATTAAGGGAGTAGAGAGGCTTGATTTCTTGGAATGGTATACTGGTGCTGATTTGAACAGATTTTTGTACACCAATGTTCTCAGCAGCGTTATTCACAGTAGCCAAAATGTGTCAAGTGTCCATGAACACATGAATGGATGAACAAAAGGTGGTATATACTCACAATGGAATATTATTCAGTCATAAAAAGGAATGCAATTTTGATGTTTACTACCACATGGATGGACCTTGAAAAATTATGCTCAGTGAAACAAGTCAGACACAGAGGAGAAATAGCGTATGATTCTACTTATGAGTTGCCTAGAAGAGGCAAATTCCTAGAGACACAAAGAAGGATAGAGGTTACTAGGGACTAGTAGGAGAAGGAGATAATGGGGAGTCATTGTTTAGTGGGTGCAAAGTTTTTGCTAGGGATGATAAAAACATTTTGATATCGATAGAAATGATGGTTACGCGACATTATCAATGTATTTAATGTTACTGAATTGTACACTTATGCATGGCTAAAATTATAAATATTATGTAATGTATATTTTACCACAATGAAAAAAAAATTTCAATGGTAAACTACTTCTAGGTGATTAGAACAGCAAAAAACTGTTGTAGAAGTGAGTTGATGAATTTAGACTGGAGAACAAGATGGTTGGAGTTGAAGAGATGAGGGAAGGACGAAGCCAGGAGGTGAATGGGTCATCCTGCGGGAACCCTGTGTCCTGACTTTTATCTATCCTTAGGAGGCAGTGCCTGTGCCATTAGCAGGCCCAATGCATTGAATACATGGAGGATGCAAACCAAACTGGGATGATTCACTTCCACTTCCGCCCCTTCTCCAAACTCCCTGACGTGCAGATGCTGATCTTCGTGACCTTCCTGATTATGTACCTGGTCAGCATCAGCGGCAACGTCTCCATTTCTCTCATCATCTGGATCAACCATTCTCTCCACACCCCCATGTACTTCTTCCTGGCCAACTTGGCAGCTCTGGAGGTCTGCTACTCTTCCACCATTGCCCCTCTGACTCTGGCCAGCATCCTGTCCCCAGAGAGAACCCTCATCTCCCTGCCTGGCTGTGGCACCCAGATGTTCTTCTTCATCTTCCTGGGTAGCGCTGACTGCATTCTGCTGGCCATCATGGCCTATGACCGGTTTGTGGCCATCTGTCACCCTTTGCATTACACTCTCATGATGAGCTGGCGGTTGTGTGTTCAGCTGTCCCTGGGATCTCTGATGCTTGGGTTCATCTTGGCCATGCAGCTGACTGTGCTCATCTTCCAACTCCCCTTCTGTAGCAGCAAAGAAGTCAGCCTGTTCTATTGTGATGTCCTCCCTGTCATGAGACTGGCCTGTGCAGATACTCATGTCCATGAGGCCACTCTGTTTGTGGTCAGTGTCACTGTCCTCACCATCCCCTTCCTGCTGATCACTCTGTCCTATGCCTTCATTGTGTCTGCCATCCTGAAGATCCGCCCTGCAGAGGGGAGGCAAAAGGCCTTCTCCACCTGCTCCTCCCACCTGACTGTGGTCGTGCTCCAGTATGGATGTGGAAGCCTCATCTACCTGTGCCCCAGCTCCAGCTACTCTCCGGAGAGGGGCCGGGTAGTGTCTGTGGTTTACACATTCATCACCCCTGTGCTGAACCCCTTGATCTATAGCATGAGGAACAGAGAGCTTCAGGATGCTTTGAAGAGAGCAATGATGAGTTTCCTCTTGTCCTAAACACAAGGAACACCCTGGATGTCCCGCTAGAACATTGCTGGGTAGAGACAAATGTTCTCTGAAAGATGAGGAGACGGGGACTAAGAGGTCATTTTTATACTGTTTCCTCTTCCTGGTTATTTTTGACAAATCATTTTCTTTTTATCAACCTCAGATTTCTCATCTTTAAAATGGGGATTAAAATGCCCACAAGACCCATATTTTGGGGCAATCATGGGGATCAAAAGATACATTAATAAAAATACTTTGTGATTTTTTGGGGGGGGGTGAGGACGATTGCCCCTGAGTTAATGTCTGTGCCAATCTTCCTCTATTTTTTTGTATCTAGGATGCCATCACAGCATGGCTTGATGAATAGTGTGTAGGTCCAGCCCAAGTGCAGCCACAAACTTAACCACTACACCACTGGGCAGCCCCAATACTCAGCGACTTTTAAAGGGAAGTACAGGAGTGAAGGTCATTATTACTTCACTGTGATCCTCACCATCACATGTAAACTCTGTGTTCCGCTTTGGACTTGTCTCCAGATGTAGTTCTCAGGTTCTCAGCAGGTCCAAACCTTGTACTTTCTGGGCAGGAGCGGAGCCAAGACTAGGATACAAACTGGGACCATCCCAACCCCTCTCTCATGATTCCCATGGTGTGAATGCTGAGTTTATGTCTGTTTGAATTATTTGTCTTTAATCCTAAATTTTCTTCCAGGGAAAGGTGATGGGGAAAGCACTGGAGTTTAAAAGTTTGGGTAGTTCCCTTTTCTTACCTTTATACCCGGAGCTAATTCACCTCCAACTCAATCTCTGACTCTGTTATTAGTCTGCCTCTGTATCACTCTCCCCATGCCTATCTGTTCTCCTCTCCCTTCTCTGTCCCTTTCTTCTCTCATTCTCTGTCTCTTACATGCATGCACACACACACACACACACACACACACACACTCTCACATATCTCATATTCTCCCTTTCTGTTTATCCCTAGTTGAGATGGTCTGAATGTATGTGTCCCCCTCAAATTCATATGTTGTAATCCTAACGCCCAATGTGATGGTGTGAGGAGGTGGGGACTTTGGGAGCTGCTTAGGTCAAGGGGGCTGGGTGGTTCTCATGAATAGGATTCATGTTCTTATGAAAGAGACCTCACAGAGCTCTCTAGCCCCTTCCACCATGTGAGGCTACAATGAGAAGTCCGAAACCTGGCAGAGGGCCGTCACTTGACAATGTAGGCACCCTGATCACAGACTTTCAGACTCGAAAAGTGTGAGAAATAAATTTCTGTTATTAATAAGCCACACAGTCTATGGTACTTTGTTATAATAGCCTCAACTAATTGTCAACTAGTTTATAAGAGATAGTTATTTAAGAAATGCTTCCCTTTTTTTAACTAAAAAAAGTCAGCCAGGCTCTAACTCAACTTTGGATGGGCCCCTGTTGACACTCAAGTTCTCTTCTTGCTTTTCATGCACATTAATGGAAGGGAGATGAAATATGAAGTCAGAAGTCTTGATTTAAAATCCCAGATCAGCATGGACCTGCTGTGCAAACTTGGACATGTCAATGCAGAACTGTGAGTTGTGGTTTCCTCAACTGCAGAGTTGAAGAATAAAACCATGCCCAACAAATCCGGTAAGGTGTTATAAGATTAAAATGAAATATAAGTGAAACTGTCAATGTTAAATTATCACACAAATTATATGGTGAGCATCACCATCCTCACCATCCCCTTCCTGCTGATCACTCTCTCTTATGTCTGCCATCCTGAAGATCCGCCCTGCAGAGCGGAGGCACAGGCCTTCTCCACCTGCTCCTCCCACCTGACTGTGGGCCTGCTTCAGTATGGATGTGGAAGCCTCATCTACCTGTGCCCCAGCTCCAGCTACTCTCCGGAGAGGGGCCAGGTAGTGTCTGTGGTTTACACATTCATCACCCCTGTGCTGAACCCCTTGATCTATAGCATGAGGAACAGAGAGCTTCAGGATGCTTTGAAGAGAGCAATGATGAGTTTCCTCTTGTCCTAAACACAAGGAACACCCTGGATGTCCCGCTAGAACATTGCTGGGTAGAGACAAATGTTCTCTGAAAGATGAGGAGACGGGGACTAAGAGGTCATTTTTATACTGTTTCCTCTTCCTGGTTATTTTTGACAAATCATTTTCTTTTTATCAACCTCAGATTTCTCATCTTTAAAATGGGGATTAAAATGCCCACAAGACCCATATTTTGGGGCAATCATGGGGATCAAAAGATACATTAATAAAAATACTTTGTGATTTTTTGGGGGGGGGTGAGGACGATTGCCCCTGAGTTAATGTCTGTGCCAATCTTCCTCTATTTTTTTGTATCTAGGATGCCATCACAGCATGGCTTGATGAATAGTGTGTAGGTCCAGCCCAAGTGCAGCCACAAACTTAACCACTACACCACTGGGCAGCCCCAATACTCAGCGACTTTTAAAGGGAAGTACAGGAGTGAAGGTCATTATTACTTCACTGTGATCCTCACCATCACATGTAAACTCTGTGTTCCGCTTTGGACTTGTCTCCAGATGTAGTTCTCAGGTTCTCAGCAGGTCCAAACCTTGTACTTTCTGGGCAGGAGCGGAGCCAAGACTAGGATACAAACTGGGACCATCCCAACCCCTCTCTCATGATTCCCATGGTGTGAATGCTGAGTTTATGTCTGTTTGAATTATTTGTCTTTAATCCTAAATTTTCTTCCAGGGAAAGGTGATGGGGAAAGCACTGGAGTTTAAAAGTTTGGGTAGTTCCCTTTTCTTACCTTTATACCCGGAGCTAATTCACCTCCAACTCAATCTCTGACTCTGTTATTAGTCTGCCTCTGTATCACTCTCCCCATGCCTATCTGTTCTCCTCTCCCTTCTCTGTCCCTTTCTTCTCTCATTCTCTGTCTCTTACATGCATGCACACACACACACACACACACACACACACACTCTCACATATCTCATATTCTCCCTTTCTGTTTATCCCTAGTTGAGATGGTCTGAATGTATGTGTCCCCCTCAAATTCATATGTTGTAATCCTAACGCCCAATGTGATGGTGTGAGGAGGTGGGGACTTTGGGAGCTGCTTAGGTCAAGGGGGCTGGGTGGTTCTCATGAATAGGATTCATGTTCTTATGAAAGAGACCTCACAGAGCTCTCTAGCCCCTTCCACCATGTGAGGCTACAATGAGAAGTCCGAAACCTGGCAGAGGGCCGTCACTTGACAATGTAGGCACCCTGATCACAGACTTTCAGACTCGAAAAGTGTGAGAAATAAATTTCTGTTATTAATAAGCCACACAGTCTATGGTACTTTGTTATAATAGCCTCAACTAATTGTCAACTAGTTTATAAGAGATAGTTATTTAAGAAATGCTTCCCTTTTTTTAACTAAAAAAAGTCAGCCAGGCTCTAACTCAACTTTGGATGGGCCCCTGTTGACACTCAAGTTCTCTTCTTGCTTTTCATGCACATTAATGGAAGGGAGATGAAATATGAAGTCAGAAGTCTTGATTTAAAGTCCCAGATCAGCATGGACCTGCTGTGCAAACTTGGACACGTCAATGCAGAACTGTGAGTTGTGGTTTCCTCAACTGCAGAGTTGAAGAATAAAACCATGCCCAACAAATCCGGTAAGGTGTTATAAGATTAAAATGAAATATAAGTGAAACTGTCAATGTTAAATTATCACACAAATTATATGGTGAGCACCACCATCCTCACCATCCCCTTCCTGCTGATCACTCTCTCTTATGTCTGCCATCCTGAAGATCCGCCCTGCAGAGCGGAGGCACAGGCCTTCTCCACCTGCTCCTCCCACCTGACTGTGGGCCTGCTTCAGTATGGATGTGGAAGCCTCATCTACTGTGTCCCAGCTCCAGCTACTCTCCAGAGAGGGGCCGGGTAGTGTCTGTGGTTTACACGTTCATCACCCCTGTGCCGAATCCTTTGATCTACAGCATGAGAAACGAGTTGCTTAAGGATGCTCTAAAAGAAGAAGAACTTGCAAGGTTCTTGCTGCTTAAAGCACATTGACTCTTTCTGGGTATTACTGATCAAACAACTTTTTTTACATGGAAAAGAAAATTGGATGAACTGTATGAAAGATTAGAAGCTAAGCGGAAAAAGACCCAAGATTCCAGAATTGCTTTAAGTTCTCTTGCTCTTTCTTTGTTGCTGTGTGTCCATTTTCTGGCTGTGAAGCCACAGTGTCTTCATCTATAAAATCAGCCTGCTTGGGAGGCCTGTTGAAAAGATCATCAAGTGAGATTGTGGATATAAAAGTACTTTATGAATTGCAGTGTCTGATCTCAGGTGACCAGAGTCTCATTTGATTCTATTGCTCCATAGAAATAGAATCCATTTCTTGCTTTTCCTAAAATTTATTTACCTTATTTAGATGACTGCCATCTAAGAGGGTAAGTGTGCCAATTGCCAATAGCACAAAGATGTTAGAATTCTCAAAACCTGCTGAGAAGGAGTTACCATAAGATGTTGCATCATCTTCTCTTCTAGAGTAAATTAGCATTTCTATAATGCTGGCCTACTTTCAAGAGCCTACTTCCTTCAGATGGGCTGGGAAAAAAATTCATGGCTAATTAAGGGTAGGAAATATACATACGTTGCCTTCCTCGTGAGGATTCAGAAGCACATTACTTGGGAATGTCAACAGCACAGCAATCTTTGTAGGGCTGTGGCTTCCAAAAACATTTCCTCAGGAAAATTTTTTCTTTCTTTCTTTGACACCTAATTAACTGAACCCAATGAAGATAATCTTCTGGGAACACTCTTAGGGAGAGAATTGTGTAAGTGATCAAAAGCAAATATTTAGGGATGTTGTACCAGACAAAATGATCCCTCAGCCATGATGAAATGAGTCTGTTCAGGCTGTGGGTTGAAAACGCAACCCATTAGACTCATGGCCTTCTGCGCACGACTGAACACAAGTCTTTTTAAATATATATTAAGATTGGATTGTCACCCAAGTAAGTTTGACCTACGA